TGATAAATTTTGATTTTGTCGTGGAATGAAGATTATTCATTGCTTTGCTGTGGGATTTGTTTTATACTTAAAGTGTTTTTAAAAAAGAATTTAATGTACACTTCAAAATGACAATCTACAGTGCAACTCATTTGTAAGGACCAATATGCAGATTATTGTATGATGGTTATTTGTTTGTTAGGTGCACTGAAAATTTTCCTTTCCCATGGAAAATAGATCCAAAACTGGGAGTGCTCCTTATGTCAAAGTGTTTTGGTGCATCCTTTTCACAGTGTTTGTTCATCATTTAAATTGATTTTTGGCTTTACTCTAAGTTGGCTGACAGAATTTTCTCTGTTAGTGTGCATGTGTGAATCACTAAGACTGATGATGGGTCTTTTAACTGACATGTTGGCATTGTCAATTTCTCAAGTTTTAGGTTATTCTTGCAACTGGAAACTTATTACAGCTGAATAAATACAATATCAGCTGAATAAATACAATATTGCCCACCTGAGAGGGCTTTAATCAACCAACTTATTACTGCCCAAAAAAGTGTCACAGAACTATGCAGGTAAAAAACTAAGAACAAGTGGTACACATTTAACTATTTGACCCCCAGTTGTGACCAGCATCAGATTTTCCCCAGTGATATCACTTGTGAACAAAAGATTAAGGTTATGAGGATAAGAGAGATATTCACCAACTGCAGAAGCTCTTGATAAGCAAATTCTCCTTGTCAGCATCATAGGAAATATTTAGATAACTGTGAGGAGAATATACATACTGATGTTAGGGTGTAAAGGGTTAAAATTTCTGAAAACAAAAAAGATATTTTTACCATAACCAATTAGCATTGTCTAATTAAAAGTAATTGTGATGCGCACAATACAATTTGCAACATACTGTTTGCTAATTAAATATGCCTAAAAAAGATAAAATTTTTTTTTTCTTTAAAAGTATTGTGTAAGAGATTTTCATGGGTTTCATTTAATATGACATGTTGCTCTTGCTTGAGTTATGATGTTAAGATCACGGTACTGAATGTGTACAGAACCAACTGTATGAAAATGTTTTTCCCCAGGCAGGCTTTTCTATTGATATCAGCCAAGTGATTTGGTTTATATTCCTGTGATCATGTTTTATGGAAATTGTATCATGTTTTGTTATTTCATGAAACATTCTCAGCTTTAGATTTTCAGATGAAATGGCCATTTTCCCTAATAGAGGAATATGACTTGAAAAAATGCAAACCTCATAACTTTCAATGGAAAATTTTTCAATACAAAATTAGAAGTTTTACAGTGGTCTTTTTTTTTTTTTGCACTTAACTTTCTGTGAGTTTTGATTGATTTCTTCTGTTACAAGGAATTGATTAATTAAAGTAGAACTGCTAAAGAGCATAGAGCATAGACTCAATATCCCTGTCCTAATAGGTAAGGGTTTTGTAGATCTTGAAAATTTTTATGATTTCGATAGGGAATATTCTTCAGACTTACTTTTAGTAAAGGGGAACAGCGAATTAGACAGATTTCTCTGAGCAGTAATGTATTAAGTTTAGCTTTCCTTTATGCAGTAATCAATTTAGAGCTTTAACACTCCCCTTCCAGGCAATACCCCTGGCATTTAAACTTTTAAAGATCGGTTTGTTCAAGTTCCATGTGTACTTATGTGTAGGATAAGCTGCTGCAACTTAAACATAAATACACGTGCATTTGTATATTTCCATGCAGTAATTTACATCAGGTGATTCCAAAAATGATTTCTATTTTAAGATAATATTTAGGATATTGGTTTGGTGGTAAGGCAAAACACTTTTGATTTTATGATATGGACTATCATTTAAAAGTTGAATCCTGGAAGCATTTTCATGCCACAGATATCAGTTTGGTTCAATGGCAGTTTAGCTTCAAAACCATTTGCTAAAATGTGACCCAAGTAAATCTTAACCCAGGGTTAGGTTTGTGAACAGTACTGTTTCATCTTGTGTTTCATACATTCACCCTGTTGGTGTAACTAGTTGCCCATGTATGTCATGCCCTGCATTTTATTAAAGCCAGTGTCCAAATAGTTTGAATTAGACCTTAGGTCTTTGCATTTTATACTCCAATGCTCCACCTTCTGGCTCGAGAAAATATTTAAACCCTTTATTGCCTGAGAGTGGGCACAAGCTGCTATTACATGCTCAGTATATAATCATAGTTTCTGAAATTTTCACAACCAAAGGGTCATTGAAAGATCTGCACACTGAAGGCATAAAATCATGGCCCCCTCCAATATCAGACTTGATTTACCACTCCTGCAACTTCTGGAACTTGTTGTCTTTGTACTGTTTTGGTAGAGTTGATGCCTTACAACAATCAATGCTCTGAGAGCTGCAATTTATGCTACAGTTTAGTGGTATACCCTATATGTACCAGGAAAGCAAAAACAAAATTTTTTTTTTAACTTTTTTTGACACTTCTCTGTCTTTTCAGTTACCACCTCCATACCTGTTGGTGTCATTTATAGCATAACCCAAAAATACCTTTTAAATGATTTATTTTATGTAGTCTAAAGGTTCATTATTCTCATTTTAAAAATTTGGCATTTCCTTCTGGCAGTAAAACAAGCCAAGCCAAAGTTAAGTTCATATGTGACATGCCATACTGCATTCTCCTTGGATCAACAATTTGGAAGGCATCATATGAGAATGAGAAAGATGATAAATTTTGATTTTGTAGCAGAACGAAGATTGTTTGTTATTCTGCTCTGGGAATTGATTTCTACTTAGAGTGTTTAAATGTTCATGTTCACTTCAAAATTCCCATCTACAGTTTAACGTCTCATACGAGAGTTATTTGGTTTTAAGGTGCACTGTTTTTCCTTTCCCATGGAAAATAGATGCTAAACTCAGAGTGCATCTTATAGCAAAGTATTTTGGTGCAGCCTTGTCACAGTGTTTGTTTATCATTTAAATCGATTTTTTGGTTTACTGTAAGTCCATTGACAGAATTTTCCATCTTACTGTGCATGTGTGAATCACTTAGACTATTTATGGGTCTTTTAACTGACTTGTAGACATTGTCAATTTTTCAAGTTGTGGGTTCTTAATATAACTGGAAACTTCTTACAGCTGAATATCTATAGTAATGCCCACCTGATAGGGCTTTAATTAACCAACTTATTATTGCCCAGAGGCTCATGTTACAAGTGTTCCACAACCTCAAAAAAGTGTCACAGAACTATGAAAGTAAAAAACTAAGAACAAGTGGTATACATTTAACTTTTTAACTCCCAGTTGTGACCAGCATCAAATTTCCCCCCACAATATCACCTGTGAATCAAACATTAAGGTTATAAGGATAAAAGAGGTAATCACCAACTGTAGAAGCTCTTGATTGTTAAGCAAATTCTCCTTGTCAGCACCTTAGGAAATATTTAGATAACTGTAAGGAGAATATACATACTGATGTTAGGGTGTAAAGGGTTAAAAGTTCTGAAAATAAAAAATTGGCCAGGTCTGAATTAATTGTGATGAGCACAATACATTGCAATGCAATGTTTGCTTATTAAATATGCCAGAAAAAGGTAAAAAATAGTAATTTTTTCTTTGAAAGTATTGCATAAGAAATTTTCATGGGTTTCATTTCATAAGATATGTTGCTCTTGCTTGGGTTATGCTGTCAGGGTCACAATACAGAATGTATACATAACCAACAGTAAGAAAATGTTCACTCTCTTTGTGTGTGATCCTGTTACATGTAATGTGGTTATTTTATAAGGAAAATGTCATTGTGACTTATGAGCAGTCAAAAGTAGTGGGGTGCCTCTTCTGACCCAACATTAGCTCTTTGGAGTTTCCTGTTGGTAGATAACAAGAGAGATTTAGGCTTCCATGCCCTTCTAGCGGCAGTAATTTTGATGGGGTATTATGACATACTTTCTAAAAACTTCTTTCTTCTTTTAACTTAAGACCCTGCTCTAGAATTGGCTTGTAATGCTTCTATTGCTGATGTAAACCAATGCTGAGGGAACTCAGTATTAAAATGATATGAATTTATTATATATTACAATTAAACACAATGTTGTTTAGGTCTTGGATAAAAATCTTGTGGCAAATTATGATCCATATATTAGTCATATATGTTAAATTATTTCCCTAAAGTGAAAACTCTGACAAGCAAAATTTAAAAATTGTTGTCAGTATTTAACTGCATTAAATTTTAAATTAATTTTTATTTCATTTTCATTCCTGTGTTCTATTGAGCAGTGAATCTGGTGTCATTACAAAGCCTTCAGTTAACATTTTGAGTGGTTCAGTGGTGAAATGCTATTAATAACTTTCTTATAAATTGTTATGTGATTTGATTTTTTTCAGGAATCTCTGATCCCAAAGACTTTATTCCTTCAGCTGGCTCCTTGTCTGACCAATCAGCTGGCTTTTGGAATACCACTGTGAGGATTGCAAATGGTGTGTGGGGGAGCTCAGGTAACCATAAGGCTGTCAAATAATAATTATTATTATCCTATGAGTATGAACTGAAGATACCTGGAGTATTTTAATTTGTAATTATCATAATAAAATGTCTCCCTTGTCTTAATACAGCGCAGATTTGATGATAAGTTTATAATATTTTAGTCAACAAACTTCTATAGAGACACGATTATATAGGTATATTATTCCTTCAGAGCACAAAAACAATCCCTGATACTCTAAAGATGACAGGTTTCTTTAACCCTTTGAACCCAAAGAGTGACCAGCATCTAATTTCTCCCTACAATATCACCCCTGAGTCACGTGTTAGGGTCATGAGAATGAAGGAAATGATTATTAATTAAAGAGAACCTTTTGATCAGTAAACAAAATCTCCTTGTCAGCACCTTAGGAAACGTGTGAAGAAATTATGGAGAATATGAGAAAAGTGTTGAAGGAGTCAAACTGATTAGTAGAGTGGAGAGGTCTTTATACGCAATTGTAATGTTTCTTTCAGAAAACGCGCAGGTACACCTGATTACTCCATCTTTGTATTTTGGATCATATGGCATCAGCTACTCCTTCACCTCTTGCCAGTTCTGTAGAGAAGACAAATGGAGCCAAGATCAGCCGACTTCTCATCGATGGTGGAACAACAGTTCTTAGGAGCATTTTCAATGGATATCATCCCCCAGCAAGTCTTTCAGCCGTGCTGAATACAAACTATTTAACTCTTCAAAATCTGTTGAGAAGAAGGATCCTACACAAACCTCAATGGGATCTATTGTTTCCTCCAAGCAGTGCTCCTCCAGACTCCCAAACATTCGATATCACTCTTTTATTCCTCCTGTTAACCAACATTTGTGGTCTCTACCCACCCCACTCTGGGTGGCACAACAAACCACCTCCAAGTGACAACTCCCTTGAAGCAAATCTTGCTCGCATAAAGTTTTACCGCAATGAATTGTATGGCCATGTTACCACAACTGGTATTGCTGATCCAACTTTCTCAACTCTGTGGCAGGAGATCAGTGTTGTTCTTGTTGCTCTCGGCTTGCAGCAGGCAGAAATTGACAGATTGAAGGTTGAGCGTTGTGGAGAGCAGGAGTACCTTGATGCGTTGCACAAGTGGGCTGATTCTGATGCAGATATAAAATCACAGCTGAAGGACATACGGGATATTGACACCAAAGTGCTGCAAACTGTTGATGAAAATAAAGCAAAGCTGGATGAAGTTCATCAGTTACAGAAGAACTTGCAAGAATCTGTGCAGAGCCAACAGCAAGACACCATTCACAATTTGAATAAAGAGAAGGAGAGGATCAGGGATGACGAAGTCCTTGCGAAACTAGCAAACGTGGATAATTTAAGTGAAATTAGAAGCCATGCAAGCAGATATGTTGAGGGAACTCGGTTATCGATCATTGCAGCAGTTGAGAGATGGTTAGACGACAAAAGTTCTCCAAATAGAGTGGTTGTTATTAGTGGAAATGCGGGGATGGGAAAGTCTGTAATCTCAGCTGTCTTGTGCCGAAAGATGTTAGAGGCTGGAAGATTGTCAGGGAGCCACTTCTGTCGGCATAACAAGGCACGCCGGAGAAATCCCAAAGTGATGCTGCAGTCGTTAGCCTGTCAGCTTTCAGACTCGCTTCCAGAGTACAGGAAGGCTCTCGTGAAGAAGTTGTCGAGAAATCTGGGCGTTGAAATTGGAGACATGGAAGTGGAAGAACTGTTTGAATTCTTGTTTAAAGAACCTCTTTCAGATTTGAAAGATCCAGACTCTATCCATCTCATGGTTATAGATGGCTTAGACGAAAGTGAATACCAGGGGCGTAATGAGCTTTTAAATGTGATTGCAGATTACTTTAAGACGCTTCCGTGTTGGATACGATTTGTGGTAACAACGCGACCTGAAATGAACATCTCAGAGAAGATTCAAGACTTAAATCCCATACAGCTGAACCCAAACGATCAAGAAAACTTGATGGACGTTAGGCTTTGCTTTCAAGAGCAACTGGAACATGTTCTGCAATCTGATTGTCAAGATACCATCTTAGAGAAGCTCGTTGAAAAGTCAGAAGGAGTCATGTTATATACCTATTACCTGACAGAGTTCATTAAGAAGAATGCTGTACGTATGAATGCTGCTGAAGTGATCAACAGCGACTTGCCATCAGGTATTTCGTCCGTTTATCAAGACTACTTCAAACGCCTGAAAAATGAAATGCAGAAAGAACTAGGTATCACCGAAGAGCAATTCTTTGATCTTTTAAATGCCATGGTGGCAGCAAGAGAACCATTACCTGTCGAGTTTGTCTACAAGTTGTTCCTTTCAAAAGAATGGTCATCGGCTGATGAGCAAAAAGTACGAGACGCAGTTGATTGTATCTCGGCTCTTCTACCCATTGAGGGCGAGTGCATTGACTTCTTTCACAAGTCAGTCAAGGACTGGTTGGTCGAGGAGTCTACTTCGAGGCAAAAGAAGTTTATTGTTAGCGGAAAAGAATGTCATCGCGTCATTGCAAAGCTTTGCAGAGATGAACTAGATGAATTGAAACTTAAAGGGATCCAGAGTTCAACACTGAAACAGACGTCGAGGTATGCCTTGCAGCATGGTGTTCAGCATATACTTGAGGTAGAAGAGAATGCTCGTCCATGTAGCCTGGACGACATTGTAAAGAATTATGTTTTGGACCTAGAATTGGTCTATGCAAAGCTAACTGTGAAGAGTACAGCAGCCACTGAAGATGTTCTTTGCGTACAAGAGAAGGAAAATACAAATGGTTTGTCAAAGAATTGCAGAGAAGCCCTGGAGACGTTATTGTTGCTGTTGTGGAAGCATTTAAGTACTCTTTCAAAACTTCCTCATGCCATCTTTCAAATCTTGTTGAATGAAGGAGGACGTGAACTGTCTGCGGAGGCATTAAGCTTGCTAAACACCAAGTATGCGGACTTACCATACATGGAATATTTGCGAAAGAAGGAGGAAAGAACAGATGTTCTACTGCGGTTTTCTGCCTCAGATAAGGTGATCTCCTTTGATGTCTCACCAAATCAGGACTACCTGGTATGCGAGTGTTGGAAGCACACAATTCATCTGTGGTCGCTCCGTACTGGCCAGCTTATGTGGACACGCTCTGCGCTGGTATCAAACAATGATTTTCAGGATTACCAAGGGAAAGCATGGGATTTCCTTTTCCCATTTTACCAGTCAGTAGTTTTCCATCCAACCTTAGACCTGATCTTACATGGGACTCTGTGTCAGCGCTATACCTTGGTCGGAGACGTGAAACCTCTTTTCCGTTCGAGCGAGTGCCGGTTCCGAGTTTGTTCAATATCTGGTGACAAAACCACGATGCTGACTGACTGTCTGGACAGGAGGAATTGCGTCATCCAGTGGAGTCTAAAAGATGGAAATGAAATTAGTTGTTTTACACACAAATGCGAAATTTTATCTTTTGCTTGGTCTGCTAGTGGAAGACGGATGGTGATCGTCGATTCTGACAAGTGCGCATACCTCATTGACATGAATGATGGAGTTGAGACTCTAATGTGTGCTTCAGTTCGGTCACGATATGTTAAGTTAACTCCTGACGGCCGGTTTTTTTTCTGTTTACTTGAGGATGAACGTCATTGGTATTCGAAGCCCAAGCTTTTTTGTTTAGATATTGACAGGAACACTAAGTCAATGTATAGTTCGGATTGCATTTTTGGGACGAGTTCCTACCAGTACGCCTCAGAATTTGAAACTTGCAATGAAAGTGGTTTCTTATCAGGAGATCCCTTTTGGTATCTATCTGGAGGAAAATTCACATCTGTGGATTTTGCACTTGTACTAGAAAAGCAGATGTTACTAAGAGTTTCCCCTCACAGTGAAGTGATTGAAATGTGTCGCCTTAATGACGTAAGGGAGTGGAGAGGTGAGAGAACCGAAAATAACGATCTAACGGAACATAACCTACCAGAAATCAACGATATGCTGGAACAGATAGCTGAAATCGATGTTCTGTCAGGACTGATAGCTGACGTTGCTGATCCATCAGAACAGAGAGCTGAACTCGGTGGCCTAGTTTAACAGACAATGGAACGTAACAACTCTACGGAAAAGAGAGATGAACTTGATGACTTTGTGGGAGAACGAACGGCATTTAATGACCCACCAGAAAAGAGGCTCAAACTCGATGAACTGTCAGAACGATTGGAAACTGATCCATGCAGCTTATTAGGGAATGGAGCTGATCCTTATTCTAAAGGGGGTAAGTTTCCAAAGAAACTGTGGTGCTGTGTCGGAGGGAGAGTATAACAGGGTAATTTAGTATTACCAATTTAGTTGATAATGTAAACTGGCCATCGCTATTAAACACTTTATGGTGGCCAATTTATGTTATCAACGCAGTTGATAATAATTAATTGCCTAGATCTTTATTCTGTTCTCTCTTTCCTAGATGATCAGGAACAACAGGAACCTCTACTTGAGGACATGGAGGAAAACGGTTTTGTTGGATATGATCTCTTTTTAACAGGTTTTGACGTTCATTTCTCTGTTGATGGTGACTCTCTTTATACCGTGGAAGGTACAAGGATCCAGCGAATAAATCTTGTGGCTGGCGATGTTTTAAGTAAAAGGATCAGAAAAATGGAATATATGATTCTTGCACCTGTTGTGTCTGTACGTGTTGTGCCCGTCAAAAGAGGTGTCCTATTTCGAACAGGTAGTGGCTCGCTTGAGTTGTGGAACCCTGAGTTGTCTGTTTGCATGAAAAGGTGGACTGAGTTTTCTGTCGATGATGTTGTACCCTTATCAGAGGAACGAGTCACCTTGAAAACGAAATATTACTTTGATGACAGATGGGAAGTCACCATTCTAGATACAACGAGTGAACAAATTGTGTCAAAGATTGGAAATTTTGATGGTCTTTTTTTGGCATGTAATAATAAATGGGAAGTGCTAACCACCACTGATGGAGAGTCACTGCAGCTGTGGCGTGAAAACCGAGTGCTATGGGAAACTTCTGTTCAGGAGGATCTACTCAGCTGTCACAAAAGGGTTTTATTTTCTCCTACTGAAGAAAACGTCGTCATTTATGGTGCACCTGGCTCTTACGTCCTCGACGCAGTTTCGGGAAAAGTGATTCGTCAATTGGAGAACATGGCTGTAGCTGATATTAAGTTTATCAGTAACGAGGACTGCGTTGTAGGCTTGAATGATCCAAGAGGTTTGTGTCTTCGATTATACAACGTTAAATCTGGTGATCTCCTTAGTGAAATTGTAGAGCAACGACAATTTCAAAGTCTTGCAGTTTGTCCTCATAAGCGCTTGGTCGCAATTGGTAGCTTTAGACACTCCAAGTACCATTTTGAAATCATTCAAGCGAAGCTGCCAGGTGACAAAGAAAAGACAAACATCGAAAGGTCAGTTGAAACAAAGTTTATTTGAAGACAGAAAAATAATAATGTGGATAATAATATAATGTTAATAGTATTAATAGTAGTAAGAATAACAATAATGATACTTAATAATAACGTGATAATGATAACAATAATGATGATTGTACATGTAATAATAACGATAACAGTGGTAGTAAGAAAAGTTATGATGATTATTATAACTATGATGATATTAATGATAAATAATGATAATAGAACAGAGTGGAGTCCACTTCGGTCTGTAATCATACGAGAGATAAGCAAAATCGGACGACTGCAAAGCAGGAATCCGATTTGTCAATCACGAGTGTGATTACAGACACAATTGGACAACACAAAGTCCTATATCAATTTATCATAACCGTTACAATTTCCGAGGACAAAAAACACATTGAGGATAAATATCTCCGGTAGACACAATTTCTAAAGTGAAAAGTTTCTCAATTTTGAAAATTCCACAGTTTTTTTTAGTGTTAGTGGTTGTTGCTATGGTTGTTGTGATCAATTCTGTGATTGGTGGATTTGGCGGAAAGGACTCAGTATAATTGGACGCTTCAACTATCCGATCTCAGGTGTCCGATTACAGACAACTGTCCGGTTACAACTGTACAGAATGATTTGTGAAAAATAACAACTGATCACTAGTTAATTTACTAAAAAATACTCTATTACTGGAGATGTTGCCTTTGACTTAACTTCTATTATTGAATTTTTACCTTAGGTTGAACCTCCCAGAGTAAGACATCTACAGAGATTTACAGTTTCGTTGCTGAATGGGAAAGACATTGTCAGAAAGGCTGTATTCCGCTGATTCCTTTGGATTCGAGTGGTTACGATCTTCTAGTCCCGACATCTGAACAGGAGAGACCGCTGATCAAGATTGGAGCGAGTACAAGAATGATTTTAGTGACAAAGCTGTTCAAGGTTTTAAATTATATTTTTTTTGTAGAGACTTCATGAACATTTTTAACTGTTCCCAGCGTCAACTTAAGACAAACATTTAACCCTGTAACTCCCATGAGTGACCAAGACAGAATTTCTCCTTACAAAATCAATAGAATATCAACCAGATAAGTTATGAGAATAAAGAAAAATCTCAATTTGGGGATAATTTGTTGATCCAATACTAAATTCCCTGAACTAACTTTTTAAAAATTTTATGTTTGACTGTAAGGAGAATTACAAATTTGATCTGGGAGTTAAAGGGTTAACGATCTATCTTATTGCTCTTGTGGTGTTTCATCACCCAGCTACAAGCGACCAATTTGTTTGAAGGAAGTGGAGTGTTGTAAGCATTTCATTTAGAGTTGATTTGAAACTCATTTAACTCGTGAGATTAATTTCTCGAGGAAAACGAAAAAGGTAATGACAAATTGTACAGTTCTCAGAAAGGCGTGAACTTCATTTTCTGCAAAATTACTTGTACAGCTTTAGACTGCTAGAGAAGAAGAGAGAAATAGCTTGTGGTACCAATGGTGATTCTCTTGTATTTTTCTTGTGAAAGAGGCACTTTCACCTGTGTGTAAATACGAAACCAGCTAAATTTATATCCATTTTATGTGTACATAGCCTGTACTGGCCTGGTGGAAGATGGAACCAGAATAACTGTGCAGAAATCGTTTCTCTTACAGTATTTTTTAGAAAAAAGAAGGATATTCAATACGCTGATTTTTGCATACAAATTAGTTTACGTATGTTTTTGAAATTTTTGACAATACTTTCTTTTATCGGGAAGGGGGGCTGTAGTCACACAAAGTGAACTAGTTCTAAAATAAAATTAAAGCTGAGAAGGATTCATGATCAATGTCAAGTTGATGTGAAATTCTGTGGGCGTAGCCCTAACCTCCAGTACGTGGCCGTTAGTAGTCATTTGGCAACGTGCCCGTGTGAGTCAGAGCATTGTTGCATAGTCAACCGCACCAGGGTGATGAGAGGCTGAAACGTGCTGACCGTTTTCTACTCCACCCAAACGGGTACGCTGGGCCCAAACAGCCTGATTTGGGGGGGGGAGTGGGGAGGGGTAAGACTTTAGAAAAATTGTTTACTAGGCTGCTCTATTTTTGAGTTTTAACCAAAAGGGGAACTCCTTTAGACACCTTCTGGATCATGACATCTCCCTCTCTAATTTCCTTACAACTATAGATGAGGAAAAAAATTTAAAAGCAAACGAACATATGCAAAGCATATTTAGGAAAATACACTAATCAAACCGCTTTTATCTCAGGAAACCTTATAAATTAAGAGTGGAAAAATCCTCACCTATTCCTAATTTGAATCACCTCGTGAAATTCTGCTCCTTCATGGTATAGAAGAAACAGGATACGTCACAGTAGAACATGGAATTATCAACCTATTGCTTTTACTTGTCTCCTTGTTCTTTTAGGTTTTTTTTTCTTGTTTTTCTCTACTGTTCTACGTCATCAGTGTCTTCTACATTAAGTAAGAGCCTGATCTATATTCTCCATAACGTTCACCATTCATTTCCTGAGGTACTGACAAGGAGAATTTGTTAACAATCAAGAGCTTTTTTAGTTAGTGATCATCTCCTTTTCTCTTGGATAAGAGGTGATTCTTTTAACCTTTTAACCCTCCAGAGTGACCAGCTTCTAATTTCTCCTTACAATATCACCCTTGAATCAAACATTAAGGTTACGAGAATCCAGGAAATGATCACTAACTAATGAAGCTCTTGGTTTTTTAACAAATACTCCTTGACAGCGCTTCAGGAAATGTATAGAGAACAGTATGAAGAATATGCAGACTGATGTTAGGGGGTAAAGGGTTAAGGAGAAATTAGATGCCAATCGCTCTTACGGGTTTAAGGTATTTAACCCTATAGTTAAAAGCTGCTTGCTCAAAACATAACCATTTGGTTTTCAACGTTTATAAAATGCATTACATAGGTTCGCATATCCCCTGTCATGGACCAACATATTAAGTGATCCAAACAACCTAATTTAAAGTTACATGGGAGCCTCTTTATTCCAGAAATATGTTCCACAAAGTCGGAAGTATTTTCCCTCCATCATCTCATCTCCAACACTGAGGAGGAATGTTAACAGATACGTAAAAAGGAGGGCGCGGCTCTTTAAGTGTTGCCAATTTTTACTTAAGCTAAAATTTTTAAGGCTGTGCTGTTGCTACTTCATGTGAAACGAGGTTAAATGTTTGCAGCAAAGTGACTACATATACGTACCAGCAAGCTGGAATGGCCGCGAGAAGAAAATACACGCAAAAGTGATTGTTCACTCGAGATCTCAAGGTTGCAATATCGGTATCTCGCTGAGCCCAAGGCTGGTAAATTGTTGCTTATTTCACTTTTCTGCTAGACCAGCTCAAGTAATCACCTTGTCATTCCACAATCCCTTAAGTGTGGAAAGTTGCTTAAATTAATAGGTGTTCTATATTTTCATTGTGTACTTTGGTCTCGTCACGCAACGTTTCGTGACGATACCAAGCAAGCCCGTTCCAGACTCCCACAGGTACACGCCATGGGGTTCAATAATATTTCTGATATTGCTCATCTGCAAGATGAGCTTATCTTGATAAGTTCCTGTGGTTTACCGTTGTTTTCGGCTGAAGAGCGAAAGATCCGTTCTCGTCAATGAGGTCAGTTTACGAAGAATTGCATGCACTATGTCAAGTTGCATGAATATGACCGTATTTTCACCGTCATTTTCATCAGTTGGTGATCATTTTCACAGGAACCGTCTAGTTCCGCATGCCGTATAAACCGCTTTCGGCGTTGATCTCCGGTAGCCTAGCTAAGCTTGGGTCATAGACGGGTACATCTGGTCAGTACCACTTTTCCGCGACAATGTTTTTGTTTGATAGAGAGATTGCATTTGGAGAACATGAAATTTCTGGTATTTAACTGAAAAAAAAGTCTGAAAAAAGGAATGGTTGAACTCACTGCAGTCGTGTGTGAAAGTGCGTCCATTGTTCAGGGTGGTTCATGGCCTTAATTTTACTTCCTCCATTTTTGATTAAAATAGAGAAAGCAGAAGAACGAGCATCTGCCATAGTTTCTTGAATTGCAAAACCACACTGGAGACCAAGAAATGCTCAATTGAAGCGGGATCAGAAACGTTTTTAAATTCAAATCGCGGACAATTTTTGTAGTGTAGAGAGTGCTATAGGAAATTACGTTTCAGTTACATCCACCTAGAATTGACGTAACTGTTATTTTTATTCCTACTGAAGAATATTTCGTCATTTCCGATGGATTTGGCTCTTGCGTCCTCGACGCAGTTTCGGGAAAAGTGATTTTTCAATCGGAGAGCATGGATGTACATAATATTGAGTTTATCAGTAACGAGGACTACATTGTAGGCTTGGATGATTCAAAAGGCTTTTTTCTTCGATTACACAACGTTACATCTGGTGATCTCCGTAATGAAATTGTAGAGGGAAGAGAAGTTCTAAGTTTTGTAGTTTTTCCTTGTAAGCGCTTGGTCGCAATTGTCCCTGAAAACTCCGAGGACCAGTTTGAAATCATTCAAGTGAAGCTGCCAGGCGATAAAGAAAGACGAACATCAAAAGGTCAGTTGAAACAAGTTTATTTGAAGACAGAAGAAGAATAATGTGGATAATAATATAATGTTAATAGTATTAATAATAGTAATGATAGAGATAATGTTAATAATGATGCGATAATAATAATAACAATAATGTTGATGGACATTTAATAATAATGATAACAGTAGTTATACGGACAGTTATGATGATAATTATAAATATGACGATTCCAATGATAAATAATGGTAATAGGACAGAGTGGAGTCCAATTCGGTTTGTACTCATACGAGAGATTAGCAAAATCCGACGACCGCGAAGCAGGAGTCCGATTTGTCAATCACGAGTGTGATTACAGGCTTAATTGGACGACACGAAGTCCTGTTATCAATTAATCATGGCTGTTAAAATTTCCAAGAACAACAAACACATTGAGGACAAATATCTCCGGTAGAGACATTTTCTAAAGTAAAAAATTCCTCAAGTTCGGGAATTCCATAATTTTTTTTGGTAGAAGTGGTTGTTGCAGTTATTCTTGTGATCAATTGTGTGATTGGTGGATTTGGCGGAAAGGAATAAGTAGATTGGCCGTTTCAACTATCCGATTACAGGTGTCCGACTACAGCCAACTGTCCGATTACACCGTCTGGTTCCAATTGTACAAAATGATTAGTGAAAAATAAATCTGCTTATGCACCAATCACATTTGAGGACATTGTAACGATTATGATTATGATAGTAATAGTGACAAATAATTATTGGGATGATACTTATAACAATAGCGATAATAGTCAAAATAATAATGATGATGACAAAATAAATTCCTCTAGAAACGCCTGTTCCACAAATTTGAAATGACCATCATTAGATCCATGATTTAACTCGTCTTGGTCATAATCCAATCTAAAAAAAAAGGCCAATTTTTTTCAAATTCTCTATTACTTAATATAAGATGTTGCCTTTGACTTGACTTCTGTTGTTTAATTTTTTACCTCAGGTTGAACCTACCAAAATAAGACATCTACAGAGATTTACAGTTTTGTCGCTGAATGGGAAAGACGTTGTCAAAAAGGCTGTATTCCGCTGATTCTTTTGCCTTCGTGTGGTTACGACCTCTGAACAGGAGAGAGTGCTGATCGAGGTTGGAGCGAGCACAAGTGATTTTAGTGACAACGTCGTTTAAGGATTTAAATTATACTTTTCTTAAAAGGGCTATAGATAAGTTAGTTACTGTTCAAGTTGCCAAAATATTTTTTCAGAGACTTCATAAGCATTGTTTACTATTCCTAGTGTAAACTTAAGACGAACATTTAACGTTCTATTTTATTGCTCTTCTGGTGTTTAATCACCCTGCTACAAGCTAACAAATTGTTTTATGGAAGCGGAGTGTGGTAAGCGTTTCATTTAGAGACGATTTGCGACTTGTTTAACACGTGAGATTGATTTCTCGATAAAAATGAAAAAGTTATTAACGAATTGTACAGTTCTTCGTTGAGGCTCAGAAAGGGCTTAACATTATTTTCTGCCAAATTACTTGTATAGTTGAAGACTGTTAGAGACGAAGAGAGAAATAGCTTCTGGTACCACCTGAAATTCTCTCGTTTTTTTCCAATGAAAGCTAAATTTATGTCCATTCTATGTTTACATAGCTTATACCGCCTTGGTTGAAGATGGAACCAGAATGACTGCGAAGCAATCGTTTCTCCAACATTATTTTCCGG